CTAATCCCATTTATTTGGGGTCGGCGTAATATGAATCACTCTATATATTAAAAAAACCACTTCAAAATCCGTTGCGTAGTTTTGAAGATATAAGCATACATAGGGACAGACAGCGAGTTTATTTTATACTATGTAATAATGATACAGAACATATTCCCAACAATTAAATGAGTATAACGTGAGTTATCAGTATTGAATTGCAGAAGCCAGATAAACGACCGTTGACCGTCGCAGACAGATGGCAGACAGAAATGTTTTAATCATAATTGCACTGTATTTTATTTCACTTTCGCAGAAATGACTTTCTGCTACGTTTACATTCAGCCGCTTCCCCTGCCACTAGCGCTGCTGGGAATGTTGCGGGCGACAACTGAGCGAGGGCTGAATGTAAAAACACGCTGCCACTCGCGCTGCCAGTCCTTTGACTCGCGCACGAAAAACCTACAATCGAGGGAGCGCCGGGCAGCGCGAGTGGCAGCGCCGATGGCATGGGAACTGTTTCCACTCGTGTTTACACTCCCGCGCTGCTCACTTCCCTGCCCACTCGGGCTGACTGTAAATTAGGCATAATAAGGCATGTTCTACAACTGAACTAGATATGTTTACCTACGACTAACTAAAACACTTTGATAAAAGTCGACGGCATGTGTACCTAAATCGTGTATTTCAGACGCCAAAGTGTTTTTTTTAACCCGTATTTGATGGCTCGATGGTATAGCAGTCTTACCACTTTACTATCAATGCTCACGGGTTCGATTCCTCGCACGGTTTTAGAGATATTATTATTATTATTATAAGCAAGTCGTTTATATACGAGACAGATATAAGTAAACAATTAAGCCATAGTGATGATATCAGCAGACAACGCTGTAATATGACATTTTACAGTAGACATGCAAATTTTTATTACAAGTTTAGCCTAAAAATTACATGTGTTATACAATTATATCCTAATTTAATATTTAACGATTATTATATAATGTTTTTTACAATTATTATTAATATCATTATCTATATATATATATATATAACTCAAAAGTGACTGACTTAGTGATCTATCAACGCACAGCCCAAACCACTGGACGGATCGGGCTGAAATTTGGCATGCAGGTAGATGTTATGACGTAGGCATCCGCTAAGAAAGGATTTTGATTAATTCTACCCCCAAGCGGATAAAATAGGGGATGATAGTTTGTATGAAACTTTGACAATTTTAAACCGATCGGGCTGAGACTTTGCATGCATAAAGCTACTATGACGTAGGCATCCCCTAAAAATGGATTTTGATAAATTCCACCCCTAAGGGGATATCATATATTTTTTCTTTATTTATATATTCTGTACCTAATATATATTATTTATAATATATATATTATTTCTTCTGTAACTAACCCGTAAAGTTTAATTAGGATTCTGTTAATAGAGAGCATGTTAGCTCTATAATTCACTACATACATTAAGTATATTTAAGTAAGTACTAGTTACTCGCCCCGGCTTCGCACGGGTCTACATGTATTACTATATATATAAACCACTCACTCTATCTATAAGAACCGCTTCAAAATCCGTTGCGTAGTTTTAAACGTTTAAGCATACATACGGACGGACAGAAAGCGACTTTATTTTATACTATGTAATGATGATTTTCTAAAGCACTACCGCTTGTTGGTAGATATGCTGTGTCACCAATGTTGCGGGTAAATGATACTATGTTGTTGGTAGAGACGATGTATATTACAGATGGTAATAAACTGACAATATGTACATAGAAATAATGATCTTATATACTAAATAACAATAGGAAAATGTAAGGTGGGGTGACACAGTTTAGATACAGCAGTGCCTAGTAGACAATATTGAATTTGTCTTACTAGACATTATTAAATGCAATTATTATTTTGATGTATCTAGGTAACTGTGTCCTATAATGATATTATATTTAAAACCACTCCAAAGACAAATATTCATTCATTCATTCATAATTTAAGAGCTACGCTCTTGTCGGTGGAGCTCTTGCCACTTTCCGCGATCTTCCATCATGCTCTTTAATTCTTCACCATATCTGATGGCCATTCACTATCCGCCACCTGTGACCCCGTTGGTAGCCTACAGCAGTGATGGTCATCAGATATGGTGGTTAGCTGCGAATATGTGGAATAAACAGTCCCCGACCAAACAGCGGCAGCGTTATCAGGACGTGGTGGGAGATTCGCGAGGTGAATCTTTCTATAAAACACCACAAAGGTCTAAGACGGCGTTGTGACATGGTTTAAAATTATTTACCCCCCATCCCATTAAAAAGTAAGCAAAGCTCTTCCCCTAGCGTTGGACGTAAACGACGCTTAATGTATTGTTTTTTTAGCAAAGAAATAATTTCCATTCGGAAAAAATTTTGACCAGATATCAACGGGCGAACTCCTTCGGCCGGTGAACCAAGATGTGGAAGGCAAATGGGGAAAGCACCACAAAATTTCCCTAATAAATGGAGCACGAATGAAATGGAAAAATATATTACTATTATCCACAAATTTATAAATTAGACGTTTCGACTGAGTTACCTGAAATACTTCACGTAGAACTTTGAAAAATGTCGAAATTAACATTATTACTAGGTACTGATGACATAAATGCTACTTGAGGGCTTTATATTGATGGAGTTATATTAAACTCCATCAATTAGTGAAATGCACGGCAAAATAACATATAATTCGATTAAATATATATATATATAAATTAGTTGTACTCGCGAATTCGTCCGCTTTAAATTTCTAAAATAAAAGTAGCCTAAGTTACTCCTTATTACATCAGCTATCTACCAATAAAAGTCCCGTCAAAATCGGTTCAGCCATTTCAGAGAGTAAACGGAACAAACCGACAGTCAAACAGACAAAAATTTAAAAAAATATTATTTTGGTATATGTCCCTTATTTATATATTTATATGTCTAGCGGTCTAGCACACCGCTTTACGTCCGATGGTCGCGGGTTCGATTCCTCGCACAAACATGTATTCATGAGTATGATAATTTGTATCGGTCTGGGTGTGTAACAAAGAGTGTTTCATTCTTGACCAGCGATACTCATCTCTCAGTATAATTCATGACGAATTCAATAAAAAAAATTATTACGTAAAAAATGAGAAAAATCTACAAATCAATAACTCTCGCATCACTCTCCCGGAGAGAAATGTGCACTGTGTATAGGGTCATAGTGGCTCCATTGGTAGCAATATCCTTCAGAATAGCAACGCGGGAAGAGCAGCTATCACATGTATCACATGATAACGTGATACCTCTGATATTCATGAGAGGTCGCCACTTGTAAGGTGGGGCGATCCCATTCCCAATGCAGTCAAATCCAACATGGCCACCGACCCTGGAAAACGTCGTTACAAATTCGCATGCTCAGCATATCCACAACCCCTTCCACTCACCCCCTCTCACATAGGTAGGAGCTGAGAGCGCAGGCGCGGGCACCGTTGCATATAAAAAAAAATTACCCCCACGCATACATTTCGCACAAAGACTGTCTAGGTAAATCGATAACTGACGAAACAGATAGACAGACAGAAATTTACATTTCATGATTGTGTAAGTATAAATTATTTGACAGTTGCAGTTACAAACCAATTAATGTCAAATAAAGATTTTCTAAAATGTCTGTTTCTAACTGCCCTAACCAAGCCCTGGATTTCATAGCGACAAAAAATGTATATATAAATATAAAAAATCTATTGTATATTTTTTAAAATTTGATACAAAGTCATCAGTCTAGCCTGATGCTAGATAGAAAATCAGATACGCATAGATGTTAACTAAGAGTAGAACAAAGAACCTTTGTTACACAAAGGAAAATTGCGTTAAATTATTTATATTTTTTATATTATATCATCTAAATAAATTTTATATCGTTTATTTAATTCCTTTATTGGTATATCAACAGCTTGTAAGCTATATCTACCAGTTGTATACACAATAGTTCAAGATTCGATGTATCTAGAACATTCTTCCAGTGATCCTACTGGTACAGATACAAAAATAGAACCAATATATCCACAAATAAAATAATAGTTAATCATTGATATTTCATAGACAAAGTACGATGTCGCAATTAAATGTATCCGTAGAAAAAATCTATGTCATTTTAAATTAAAATTCCCGAAGTTATTGTAGCAATACATCCTTCTAATAATCTTATATATTCATTAAAAGTCACGACCCTTTGACCTGTAATAGAAGTAATAAATGTCCATATAATTAAAATATATTTCATTGCGCACATCGAAATCAATAAAATCCTTGTGAAGAAGGAAATGCATCTTGGAGAGGGGCGGTGCACATTTCCAAAATGGCGTACAATGACGTAACAAGTTTAAATGCTATATATAAATTATATGAGAAATTAATATATATAACTTAAAATGTAGAAAATATTACATTATTTTAATATATAATTAAGGGAAATGTATTTAAGGGCAGTCGAAGGTACCTACCTTGTAACAATGGAGTCGTCTTTTGTTGAAATATTATAATTTATTTGTAATATTAGACGAATATATAAAGTCATAAATGAGAATCAATGATGAAAATCATACTATATATGTATATATATAGTATGTATATAAGGTGTACAGCTCGGATCAATACTTGCAGGTATGTACCAACTCGCCCGGGCAACATAGGTAGGTATCTTTCAAGACAAGCGCATATCACTCCGTATCTATTGATTTATGACCAAGTAACACGTAGTACCAAAAGCAATTATTCATTCAACAAATTATAACACTGAAAATATCCAATTAAAATTTCAAACAATACTTTATTTAAAACCTACACGTATCTGTACCGTCTTTGTTCGCTTCTTTTTAACAAATTTGAAAGGAAAACATTATGGTTAGTAACAAAACGCATTTTATTTTTTTACATAAAATAATTTTGAAAATAGAATTTATAAATGTTAAAAAGTGTGAATTCGAAAAAAGAAATTGGAAAGCGCACTCACCTTGCAGTCTCGAAATCGCGGATCCAAAATGGCGGCGGACAAAGGAGAACATTCGAAAACTGAAATCCTATTTTCGTGAAACGTATTTTTTTTGCTTTTTCTCTTTTTAAACGTTAAATTAGGCACAGGAATCGTGAATTTTAATGCCATAATGGCTTTGTGGTGGGGTTTCTGGACGAGACGACGCGCGGTGCACTCAGTTGGATGCACCGAGGAGTACTGACCTAGGGCTTGGCTGCAGCGGCGCAGGGCGCGCACACAGCCACGACACACACCACTGCAATTGGTGCATGTACATAATCCAAAACCGGGCGACGTCGATACCCTAGCAACAGCTTGTACTTAGCCGATTTCGAAAAGAAAGTCGATTATATTTCGAACATATGTTACATCTTTTTTCGTTCACAGGCAAAGGACACGTACATTCTGCTTAAAACCCAACACACTACGTAAAACATCTACTCTCTCTTGCAAATTTATATATGAAAATGGGCGTTGGCTAGTTTTCATACTAGAGAGATTATAAAAGGAAATTTGCAACATTTTTTACGGGGTGGATTTTGTAAAAGTCGTCTCCACTCTGTCTAGCTAATAGAGCTACCAAGCAGCTTGTTCTGTAAGCTGTTTCGGTTGTATATATAATAATATCTCATGACAATTCACACAGCGCCATCTAGTCCCAAGCTAAGCAGAGCTTGATAACAAATACATGGATACATTTTTTTTTAAATAAACACATATTATACATAGAAACCACCCAGACCGATACAAACAATCATACTCAAGAATACAAATTTTGTACCCTGCGAGGAATCGAACCAACGACCATCGGATAGTAAAGCGGTATGCTAAACCACTACACCACAGAGGCTGTCGAGTATGGTGAGATAGAGCAGCGAAATTACGATTATCTAGGCATCATCTTCATCTCAGGCGACGTATGTGGTATCACGTGATAACGTGATGATCAAGATTACCAGCCATATTATGAAGTAGGCTGTACCTTTGTCATTAAAATACATAATTCAAATTCAAATTCTAAAATCATTTATTCATGTAAGACATATTAGCCGCTTTTGAACGTCAAATTTTTACATTATAATTTTAATTTTTTTCTACCATCCAGTTCAGTATATAGATCCAATTGAGAAGAACTGGTAAGAAACTCAATTGAATTACTTTTTTTTTAAAAGCCAGTTTATTTACAATGTATATTTATATAGGTGTCTATGTCTAACATTAAATGAAAACCCAGTGCATGAACAACTATTGCCATGCACGCTCGTCATTCAAGTAATCGTTTAGTGACATATAAAATTAATGGCATAAAAAATATTAAGTCATGATATACAAAAGACATACAGAATAGCTTTGATCAAATATTATCTATACATATAAATAAAATTCTGTTTCAAAAGAGTCTGTTTGTAATATTGAAAAAAAATTCAATAAAGAAATAAATAACCGTTTTTTACTACATGCATATGAATATAAATACGGTACATACACCAAATTAACATATTTTACAATTTTCGTCTGTCTGTCTGTTTGTATCGGCTAATATCTGAAATGGCTGGACCGATTTTGACGGGACTGTTTTTGGCAGGTAGCTGATGTAATAAGGAGAAACTTAGGCTACTTTTATTTTAGAAAAATAATGTAAAACTAATTAACTTTTTTGTTAAATTCCACGCGGACGAAGTCGCGGATACAGCTAGTTAATAATAATATCCCTAGACAATTTGCACAGCGCCATCTAGTTTCAAGTTAAGTAGGTAGAACTTGTGCCTACAAGCTCTGCTTGACTTGTAATTAGCTGTGACGTGGTCGAGTGGAATGAGTAGTCATGCTCACTAAAATGTCCAGACATGTACTTGTATCAGTTATCTAGTATCCATAACACAAGCTTTAGCTAGCTTAACTTGGGCCTAGATGGCGCTGTGTGAATTGTCCTGAGATTATTATTATTATTTCTAATTAATATACTTATAAAATGTATTTATATATCAGTTGTCTAATACCCATAACACAAGCTCTACTTAGTTTAGGAGATACTCACTATAGATATAGGTACTTAGAAATGTACATATATGTGAACTGTTTCATTCACTTCGACCTCAACATACCGCACCAGATATATATATAGTCTATATAAATATATATATTGCAAAAGTCTACTTCGTTAAGAACATTATCACATTATCATCGGATGATGATGATGTGATAATATTTTTAACGATTATCACTCACTATACGGTACTTTTCATTATATTTCTCGCCGACAATCATGAACGGACAGGATCAAATCAAATCAAATCAAAATATTTTTATTAATGTATTACAGACTCTTATGATATGTCAAATCTACCGTCAGTTCGGAGTGATATCCAGATGAGAAGAACTGACAAGAAACTCAGCTCGTATTCTTTTCAAATAAATATTGTACATGTTTACAATAATACAGATTCATTTAAATTCAATTTTGGGAGAATAGAGTGACCACCAGCATATGCTATTGTAAAAAATAAAAAATCTAATCAGTGCTCGCAATCTGAACAGACCAGTCCTCACAAGCAACACCCGTTCACGAGTATGACGGATGAGTCAGCCATCATTGCACTCAACCATATTAGAGGCACATCGACCCGTCCCACCACGCCGCCACAAGTTTGAACTTTATAGCGAGCATGACTGTTTCAAGTTACTCCACTACGTCATTTATATTATTTACAACATAAACTATATCAATAACAGTTTTCACCCATTACAATTACATTATTTAAGTTACAACACGTCTTTCTTAAAATTACTTACTTTTTTCTATTGAGCTTGTAGATTACAAAAATAAACATTAAAGCGACGCATCGCAAATATTGACCTCAGAAATCTTAATTTTTCTCAGCAATTACAAATCCTTCGGGGCTGATATTTAGGTATTTCATTTTTCAGATCTTTGACATCATATTTACAATTCTCGTTACATGATTGATTAACTTTTGTAGCAGAGAAAAAATCTCAAAGATTGGTCTTATAAAATATATTTTTATTTTGTATAAAAAAACGGGACTGATTTAAGACAGGAATTTTCCAGTATACATTATATTAAATACACACATACATAGTGTAATTCAGATGTATATAATAATCAATAGTTTTTATTTTAAACAAGATAAACTGTTTTCCGCACAAAATCTCTTGCTCTTTTAAATTTCAATTAGGTAGAATGTTACCAGCTTATGCTATTGTACGAACACTGATTAGACTTTGCTTTTGCAATAGCATATGCTGGTGGTCACGCTATACTCCCAAAGTTGAATCTATATTATTGTAAACATGTACAACATTCATTTGAAAAGAATACGAGCTGAGTTTCTTGTCAGTTCTTCTCATCTCGAAATAATTCCGAACTGACGGTAGATTTGACATATCATAACAGTCTGTAATAGATCTACATGAATAAAGATATTTTGACTTTGAATTTATTTTTATTTTTATTTTTTTTATTTATTTTTAACTTATTTTTTTGTCTTGTCAAAAGGAATGTTCAACCAATGGGTGGACTTACATAGATAGGTTCTGAGTTCAAATCTGGCAGACACCAAAAATACTCGTTGATCAATTTCTATTTCTGACTGCGATGGAATGAGATGGTCAATTTTAGCTTCATTGAGAATTGTTAGAGGTTACGTCATACTACGCCAGTTATTATAGCTCGTAAATGCGATGATAGGTACGCGGGTTCTGTTACTGTGCAGAGTTATTTATAAACAATGCCAACTCAATCTATCCATACAATACATTGAGTGTGGAATGTAATAATAATGCTGGGCAGTATATAATAATAATAATAATCCTGGATAAGTCACACAACGTCATCTAGTCCCAAGTTAAGTTTGCAGCTTACTGCAAGTTGTCTAGTACCTTGTGTACTACAGTTGTCTAGTACCTAAGACAAGCTCTGCTTACAGAGCTTGCTAGACAACTGATATAGAAAATCATTTTTACTACCTAGTATAAAACAAAGTCGCTGTCGCTGTATGGCCTTTTTTTACCGCCTATACTTAAATCTTTAAAACTACGCAACGGATTTTGAAACGGTTTTTTTAATAGATAGATAGACTCAAGAGGAAGGTTTATATGTATAATACATGTACACCCACCCGTGCGAAGCCGGGGTGTGTAGCTAGTTTATTATAAATACATATTAAACACTCAGACCGATGCAAACAATCATACTCATGAATACAAATGTTCTTTATTACATCAGCTACCTGCCAAATATAGTCCCGTCAAAATCGATCCAGCCATTTCAGAGATTAGCCGTAAAAATATAAGTTAAAAGATAACCTATTACCGAATTCTAAAACAATCTATATTTTCAAAACAAATTAAGTATTGTTTGCATAGAGGTCAAAAAAAGTAAGTGATTACCGCCGTCCATAAGCACTCACAAACTTAGGGGAATTGCAAGTACGTTGTCGACCTTTTAAAAAGGAATAAGCTCTTTTCTTGAAGGTTTCAATATCGTATCGGTTCGGAAAATACCATTGATTACGACATCTGCAACCCATACATTGTCTTTACTAAAAAGACAATATATTAATTGAAAAATGTTTACGTAAGCATGGAGGGAGGTATGAGCTTTGCTTACTTTTGCTGACAAGGGGAATGGGAAGGTGTGGAGGGGGGGGAGGGGGGGGGGGGGGTAAATTTTAAATTAATTAAATTCTTGAAGTAATTAATGGGGGGTAATTTCTTGAAGGCTTCAATAACGTTTCGATTCGAAATACTGTACCACAATATAATTGTGCATGGTTTCGAGGAGAATCCGCCGAGTAGAGGACCGCCATTGATCCAGATGATCTGGATGGTATTTTAGTTTCTAACGTGTAGTGCGATGGTAGCAGTAGTTTAGCCATAAAAAGGTAATAAATAGACAGACTTTCTCCATTAGTATGGAATTATATTACATTTGCGTTGGTGGTTTTCTTAAACACTTCGATAAAAGTACAATGTTTATTGTTTAGTCTATATTAGAATGAGATACGATTTGTCTGAACGATTGTTTTGTCTATGTTATCTTTATATAGACAGTGTTATTGTCTATAGTTTTATACGCCGTCTGGATTTTTTTTATACTACGATGGTGACAATCAAGCATACGGCTCATCTGATGGTAAATGGTTACCGTAGCCTAT